ATGAGATGCGACTTGTGTATAACGAGTAATATAAACATAACAGTTTTCGGTAAATACAGCTCCAAATCTCGAAAAAATGAAACGAACACAAGATGAAGTATTAATTTATACACCGTACAAAATTTTATTTATTCCAATACATATAATTTAACACTTTTCATCCCCAATTTCCTCTCCAAAAAACCTAGCCTTCACTTCCTCGTCTGTCTTCAAATTAACTTGCTCCTTTCCCAACTGAAAGTCAGGAGTCTCTTCGGCGGTCGGTTCCGACTAGAGCGGCCTCTCCTTGGATCCCGATGGTTTTTGTCCCTGTGATGTTGGGGTGGAGAGTGCGGCAGACAGGCTTCGCCAATTTCAGGCGTCGTTCTGTGGTGGTGACTCGCCGGCTCTGGTATTACGGAGATGGAGTGGTCGTGTGGTTTGGGGAGGGGCTGCGGCTCGGATTGTCTGGTGGTGTCGGGCAGTCGAGGTGGCGGTTCGCCTGGTTGTGTCCCCTGGGTTCTTTTTTTTTCTTGGTGCTCGGATTGGAGTGATGGTGTGGTGAGGGGGCGAGGCTGGGCTTCCTCCGGCTGCGGGCTGTGGTTGATTGCCTAAATGCGGGTTGTGTTTTTGGGTGCGGTTCCAGTTAGGCCTTAAGCAGTTTCTGGTGCGGCTTCTCAGGGGCGTGGTTCGGGTCGAAGGGATGGTCGACTTTAGTGCTCCTGCGTGATTCCGGGCGTCTGCTGGCTGTAGGAAGGGATGTGTTATGTTTGTGCTTTGTTTGTTTTGTTTAGTGTTTGTGTGTTGTGTTTTTGTTTTCATGTTTTATTTTCTTCTCTCCCGTTGAGAGTGTATTCTGTGTATTCTCTTGTTGGGAGTTTTTATTTATTCTCATGTTGGGAGTTCTTTATTCTCTCGTTGGCAGTTTTTTTGTTGTGTTTGGATTATAGGCTGACTCTAGGTTGCCGTCTATCTGTACGTGTAGTCCTCCCTTTTAGGGTCAGCTATTTGGCAGTTGGCTGTTATATTCGGCTGATTAGTTGTTCTCTAGTTTTGTTTGTGTTGTGAATATAAGTGATTCCTATCATTTCGAAAAAAAATACATATAATTTAAATTAATTTCTTGAAATATTGATTTTGAAATGTTTTTTTAGTAAGTCTTCCATTTAATTAAGTACATGGAAACCTAAAATTAATACAAAATCAATTTGTTAATTTTTTTTTTTCATTTTACATGCATGTTATCCAAATAACATTTTTACATAAGTTTTACCTCCTACACATTCATATTCAAGTATAAAAAATGAGAATCCAACAAATTGGGTCAAAACAGGATGATAAGTGATATATTTACAATAGCAATTATTGATAGTGCCACATGGGACACAATCTTTTTCTCTCTCTCTCTCTCCAAAATAAATTAAAAGAAAAAAAAAAAGCTCAAATCTAGTATAGTCCCTTGCTCCTCTTTTTAGTTTTTTTTTTTTTTCCCAGCTTTATCCCTTCATATTATAAATTAATCCCAATTTGTTCAGAGAATCTCATAAAACCCCAATAGCAATAGCCCCAGCTTTTGCTTTATGTAGCAACAGCAGCAGCAGCATTCACATTCCTTGCTAGCTACTCTACTTAATTCTTCTACTTCTATTTAGCTGCTGCTCAACCTCCTCCATCAATATATTATGGACCAAACTACCCTCCTCTATAACCAGCCCCACCTTTCCTCCTCCTCCACCACCTCCGGCGGCGGCGCCGCCTCCTCCTCCGCCACGTCATCCGAGACCCAGAGCTCTAAATCCCGAGTAGAAAAAACCTCCAACGAGCCGACCTACCGAGGGGTCCGAAAACGGAATTGGGGCAAGTGGGTTTGCGAGATTCGGGAGCCGAAGAAGAAATCGAGGATATGGCTAGGGACCTACCCGACGGCGGAGATGGCGGCACGTGCCCACGACGTGGCGGCGCTGGCCGTCAAGGGCCCGTCGGCCTACCTCAACTTCCCCCACCTGGCCGAACACCTGCCCCGGCCGGCCTCCGCAGCGCCCAAGGACATTCAGGCCGCCGCCGCGAAGGCGGCGGCGGCCGGTGATCTAGCGGGAGAGGGTGAGGAGGGGCGGCGCCAGCTGGCGAGCTCCCACTCGTCAACGAATTTGGCGGAGGATTGCGCGGGGGATTGGAGGGCCCACGACGACGAGGAGTCGGTTTTCGACCTGCCGGATTTGGGGGTGGCCGCCGCCGTGAGGGGCGTTGACGGCGTTGACGAGTACTGTTGCTACGAGCCGACGTGGCAGCTGGCGGGGTGCGGCGAGTTTGAGTTCCGGCTGGAGGATCCGTTTTCGTGGGAGTGTAATTAGCTGCAAATTAATTAATTGATTACTTTTATTTTTATTTATTTTATTTTTTTCTTTGTCGCCAAAAGGGGATAAATTCCATTTGTCAAAGATATATTTTGACTCTCATAAATTTTTGTTAAATTACATGTAGTTCAAAAGGGTGTGGTTGCGAAGGTAATTAATATGATTAAATTTTACATTGTATACATATATATTTATTTTTTTATTTAAAGAAAATCATTATTTTGCATCACCCAATTAGGGACATTTTTATTACAACTCATATTCAATTTATGATTGTGAGATTGAGAATATTGTTAAGTGCATAGGTAACATTGATATGCATATGCATCAATTTATGGAAAACTAATTTCAATTACTATGTCCTTGGTTTGTTAAACAATGTTTTGAGGCTAAATTAGAAGCGATTTAGAAGTTTGACTCGTCAAAATCTTTTGTTTGATTATTTATTTATTGAGTAGGTAGGGTTTCGAAATAGATTTTTTTAATAAAAAAAAAAATAATTTTAGAAAAGCTAAGTAGTAAAATTTTTGAATAGATAATCTTAAAATTAGTTATTTTTATTTGTTAACTAAATAATTACATTTTGCCTAATCAGTTAATTCAATCAATTATGTACCCTAAACTAATTGAATCACTTTATCAACTATTTATTTTTTGAATAATTCAGTTACTTATCAGTTATTCACTATCCGATAAATGTGAAGAGTAATGTTTTGAAAGCCTAAAGTGGTATAAACTTTCTATAACCAACTAATTATAAGAAATTCAAAATCACCTGTATGTATATTATATTTATTTAGAACATAATTTTATGTGTTATTTTAAAGAAAAAAATAAGATATAGTATATTTATGCAACTTCACTGGGCCATTGTTCTGGAAGAGCCCATTGTTCCATAATTCCATGCACCCACCCGCCCATTGTAATGGTGGTGCTGCCTGCCTGGTACCACCAAAATCTAGGTCAAACCTTCTCTTTTTTTTTTTCAATTTAAAATTATATAGTCATATTCTTAATCTGATTAAAATTCCCAATCAAATAAAATTCATTTTGAATTGATTATCTAATCATTATTATTTTTTTTTTTTTTTGCACAACTCTTAATTATTATAGTATTGACATGTGTTCTACCAAATTGATAGCATTACACAAATTCAATGTATAATGCGTGTAATTTATAATATCTAGACAAAAAAATAATATACTTGAGTACAAAACAGCAAATATTTGGCACTATTAGAAGATTTAGGAAATCAGTGTGTTACACGTTTGTTTAATTAATTTCTAAACTTTTGCCCTCAAAATAAATTTAAAGTTTACTGAAATATAATCCTAATATTTCTTATTGATCATCAGGATGAATGAAGTTCTCATTTACTTTCATAATCAATTTCCTATTTTTTATTTTTATTTTTTACTTTTACCTTTACTATTCTTAGATATGATATTTACTAATATGGAAGAATATAATTGTCTATTGCTGTCTCCAATTACTCCACTTGCTAATTTTAGATACATCCAATCATTAAATTAGTTAAAGAAAAACACTCAAAGAAAACAAAGTATATCCTTGTGCCATGCACGGTCATAAATTGCTTTAATCATCAAATCAAGGTTAATTGTGTTATACCACAAATTTTTGAACTGTTCGACCGCGCCTCTCGAATCGGGTTGAGCCTCCTTGATTGTCGGTACCTGCAAAACAAGTTGGGGGTGGTCTCGGCGCGGACACTACGATGCTCAAGTCAGTGATATTTCAGAGAGAAAACGACAGAGTAACGAGATAATTCTTATGTGTGTGTTGTGTAAAATAAATGAACATGTGCCCTTTTATAGGTGAGGTCATGTATAGGTCGAAGAATTCTTGTCGGACCATAAGTCTTCCTCGTGTCTACCTCTAAATCAGGTCAGATATTTCAGATTTTCAAAGTCTTCATCGCTACAAACTTCCTTGTGACTTGGTCACAAAGCCACCTCCAGGCTCTAGTCCCCTTGGCAGGACCCTCTAGTCGAGCTGCCTAGGTGCTGAGGTGCCTATGCGCCGAGCTACCTAGGTGTCTAAGCACCGAGCCGCTTAGGTAATCACATCTGCCTAGCTTATCCACCTTTGGTACTCCGCCTAGCTAGTCCCCGCCTAGCTCCAATCCGCATAGCTTACCAACCTTTGATACTCCGCCTAGCTAGTCACCGCCTAGCTAGTCTCCGCCTAGCTAGTCCTCGGCTAGCTCTCATCCGCCTAGCTTACCAACCTTTGGTACTCCGCCTAGCTAGTCCCCGCCTAGCTAGTCCTCGTCTAGCTACTCCTCGCCTAGATATACTCGCCTAGCTCTCATTCAGTATAAATGTGACCAAACACGAATCACAATCGGTCCTCCATGAATCGCTACTTATGACCATTGACCATATCATCTAGCCCCCCCATTTCTAAGACAAACCATCACAGCTTGGCCTAAGAAATAGAAAAATTACTAACGTCACAGCAAGTGGTCACACCCGAACTGAGAAAATCATCAGTTGTCTATCATAATCATACTGATCTCACACGAACTTTTCGATGCCACGTGAACTCGCCTACAAAGTTCTGCGGCACAACCCTTTGCGTAAATGCCAAACCGATCTGCATGAGGTGTCGCACCCAATGCTCCCCATTGCTGAGAGGCCGAGCTGACGAGCTATAGGATGACGAGGTACGAGTTGCACCGGTGTGTTGTGACACGCAAATGACGGAGCTGGGAAGCGCCAAGGTGGCGTATGCCGAGCTAGAAAGCGGCAAGGTGCGCGTCACGCCGGGATTTTGATGAAGAGCTGGGAAGCGACAAGGTGCTCGTCGCGATGTCGAGTTGCGTAAGGCGACGCCGACCTGTCGGGCCGCGCAAAGCGACACCGACCTGCCGAGCTGGGATGTCGAGCTGTCTGCGTTGACCTGCTGAGCCGCGGATCCCCGTGGCGAGCTGCCGGGCTGTCGAGCTGCGAGCCCCCGTGGCGAACTGCTGGGTTACTGTGCTGCCGAGTTGAGCCCCCGCGTCGAGATGTCGAGGCGCCGACCAAGCCTACACATGATGGTGCTCTTCCTTTTTGCTTCTTCTTCTTTTTTCTTGTTATTTTTTATTTCATTCAGCTATGCACAAAAGGCACACCTACACAATCACACGCTTGCCCTTTTATAGGTGAGGTCATGTATAGGCCGAAGAGTTCTTGTCAGACCATAAGTGTTCCTCGTGTCTACCTCTAAATCAGGTCAGATATTTCAAATTTTCAGAGTCCTCACTGCGGCAAACTTCCTTGTGACTTAGTCACAAAGTCACCTCCAGGCTCCATGGTCCCCTCGGTAGGACCCTCTAGTCGAGCTATCTAGGTGTCGAGGTGCCTATGCGCCAAGCTACCTAGGTGTCTAAGCGTCGAGCCGCTTAGGTGATCACATCTAGCTAGCTTACCCACCTTTGGTACTCTGCCTAACTAGTCCCCGCCTAGCTAGTCCTCGTCTAGCTACTCATCGCCTAGCTTTCATCCGTCTAACTTACTAACCTTTGGTACTCCGCCTAGCTATTCACCGCCTAACTAGTGCCCCGCCTAGCTAGTCCCCGCCTAATTAGTCCGCGCCTAGCTAGTCCTCGCCTAGCTCCCATCCGCCTAGTTGACCAACTTTTGGTACTCCGCCTACCTAGTCCCTGCCTAGCTACTCCTCGCCTAGCTAGTCCTCGCCTAGCTCCTATCCGTCTAGCTTATTACCCTTTCGTACTCCACCTAGCTAGTCACCGCCTAGCTAGTCCTCGCCTAGCTCCCATCCGCCAAACTTACCAACCTTTGGTACTCCGCCTAGCTAGTCTCCGCCTAGCTTGTCCCCGCCTAGCTAGTTCTCACCTAGCTCTAATCCGCCTAGCTTACCAACCTTTGGTACTCCGGCTAGCTAGTCCCCGTCTAGCTTGTCTCTGCCTAGCTAGTCATCGTCTAGATCCCATCCGCCTAGCTTAGGCGAAGCATGTGATTGTGTAAGTGGGCCTTTTGTGCATAGGTGAATGAAATAAAAAATAACAAGTAAAAATGAGAAGACCAAAAAGGAAGAGCACCATCATGTGTAGGCTTAGTCAGCACCTCGACGCCTCGACACGGGGGCACAGCTCAGCAGCTCGATAACCCAGCAGACAGCTCGGCAGCCCAGCAGCTCGCCACGGGGATCCGTAGCTCGGCAGCCCGACAGCTCGCCACGGGGATCGGCAGCTCGACAAGTCAGCGTGGACAATTCGGCAGGTCGGTGTCGCCTTGCGTGGCTTGGCAGCTAGGCGGATGGTAGCTAGGAGATGACTAGCTAGGCAGGGATTATCTAAGCGGAGTACCAAAGGTTGGTAAGCTATGCGGATGGGAGCAAGACGAGGACTAGCTAGACGGAGTACCAAAGGTTGGTAAGCTATGCAAATGAGAGCTAGGCGAGGACCATCTCGGCGGGGACTAGCTAGGTCGTGACTGGCAAGGAGAAGTACCAAAAGTTGGTAAGCTAAGCGGATGGGAGATCGGCAAGGAGCAGCTAGGCGAGAACTAGCTAGGCGGGGACTAGCTAGTCGAAGTACCAAATGTTGGTAAGCTAGGCGGATGGGAGCTTAGAGTGGGCTAGTTAGGCGAGAACTAGCTAGGGGGTGACTAGCTAGGCGGAGTACTTAAGATTGGTAAGCTAGGTGGATAAGAGCTAAGCAAGGACTAGCTAGACAAGGGCTAAGTCGGCGGGACTAGCTAGGCGTAGACTAGTTGGGCAGAGTACCAAAGGTTGGTACGTAGTCGAATGAGAGCTAGACGAGGACTACTTAGACGAGGACTAGCTAGGTGGTGTACCAAAGTTTGGTAAGTTAGGCGAGGGGCGAGGACTAGCTAGGCGGAGACTAGCTAGACGGTGACTAGTTAGGCAGAGTACAAAAGGTTGGTAAGCTATGCGGATGGGAGCTAGGGAAAGACTAGCTAGGTGAGGACTAGCTAAGCACAGTACCAAAGTTTGGTAAGCTAGGCGG